GACTTTCCAGGTGTTGCGCTCCTCTAGTGCCTTCAATTCCCTGTCCATGGCTTCGCGCCATTTTTCCCTGTGCTCCCCCCCCAGAGCCTGCTGAACCGTCGCAGGCTCCTTAGGAATCGCAGTGCCGTGGACCGCGGTGACCAGGCCGAGTATCTGGAGGCCACTCTGTGTGTAGCGGGGGAGTGTGGTATCCGCGGGATAAGCTGCTTCGTCACCTGCTTCTGGGTCAGGTATGAAGTTGGGCCCTGTGCGTTCTGCTTCGTTGGTGTTGACTTCTGCAGGTGAAACGTAACCGTGGTCGGCGAAGTGGAAAAATACTTCGGCGTTGACGCTTTCGCGAGGGTTTTCGTCATCCATTGAGACATCGACGGAGCAGTACGGAAGAGATCCGGCTTCCTCCGAGGCTGCGTCCACGTTCTGCTCGTCCCAGTCAGCTTCGTCCGCTGCGGAAGCGAAGGCTCGGTCTCCACGAAGTCCACTGGTGAGGTCGCGTTGTTCTTCCACGTTGGCTAGGTAGGAGTCGAGAGTGAGTCGTTCGTAGAAAATCACATCACGTGCTGCCACTGTTTCCTTGGTGTGGACGTCAAAAATCTTCCATGCGTTGTAATTCTTTTCGATGCCCAGGTGTAGCCCCCACTGTGCACGTTGGGAGAATCGACCGGCTCGTGCAGATGGGGGTCGGTACTGTACCATGCAGCCGAAGACTCGTAACATTTTTGTGCTGCCCAATTTTCCTATCCACAGCAGATGCGGTGATGCGTTGTTCGGAAGCGATGATGATGAGAGCAAGTTGTGCAGCATGACGGCGTGGTCCATTGCTTCGGGCCACTGGTGGTTGGGTAGCCGCATGCCACGTAGCAGCTTGCGCATGGTGTTCTGAAGGGTCCTGTTCATTCTTTCTGCCACACCCTGCTGTTGATGGGCGTAGGGAAGGGACATGAGCCTCTTGATTCCCTTCTCCGCCAGGTAGTCCTTGAAGCGTTGTGAGGTGTATTCTCCGCCTCCATCTGACTGAAAACTCTTTAGCTTCACTCCGGATTCTCGTTCTGCTGCTGGAAGCCAGGCGACGAAGGCTTCGAAAGCCATGTCGCGACTCGGAAGGTTCAGGTGCCAAACGTATCGAGTGGCAGCGTCGATGAAGGTGATGGTGTAGTTGTAAGCTCCTTGTCCTGGTACGCGATTGTACAGGATGTCGCTGTACACCTTTTCGAGCGGTGCGTACGCTGCACTCGGGTTGTGGTGAGGGACAAACGGCTGATGCGGTAAGTCAGCTTCAGGACATGTGAAGCACGTTCCTTTTACCCGTTGGAGTTTTCTACCGTCATGTAGTAGAAGCGAGTCTTTGTCGAGCACTCCTGCTCTTATCGTGTTGTTTAACGTTGTGTTGCTCGGGTGTCCCATCCGTGCATGCCAGATTTCTTCGCTGGCGCGGTGTCCGGGTGAACGTCGGTACATGTCGGAGTTGGAGTAGAAGCTGGCGGTGAAGTTGGCGCTTCGATAAACTTCTCGTCGTGCCGGGTTTAGCTGCTGCGCGGGTGTCAGTGGTGTGTCATCGACAAAGATTGGTGCCGTTGAAGGACCAGCGATTGGTGTTGATGTTACCACTATTGTTACCGTTGTCTCTACTGCTGCCGTTGTTGTCTCTGCTGCTGGCGTTGTTGTCTCTGCTGCTGCCGTTGTTGTCTCTGCTGCTGCCGATGTTGTCTCTACTGCTGCTGATGTTGTCTCTGCTGTTGCCGAATGTTGAATTGTCGCTAACGCTCTTGTTCTTTCTGCTTCAAGAATGGTGTGCGAGTACCAGAATCCTTCGGGGCTGAAGTTGGGGTCAAGATCCGGTGGATGTGTCCAGGAAGTGAAGGTGACGATCCCGTCGCTGTCAGCTGTGCCAAGGTTTGGGACGAAGTCGAGAACGAAGACGTTGTTCTTCAGGACTGCCTTGCCGATGTAGAGACCCCCTCTTCCGTGGTACAACTTAAACTCCTGGGTGGTGCTATCTGCTTCGAGGTGGATGCCTTTCGCCATCAGCTGGCTGACGCTCAGTAAGTTGTAGCCGAGTCCCTCCGCGATTAATACCTTTGACATCTGCAGTATAACGTTTGTCTCCCTTGACTGAAGTTGAACCACGCCTTGTCGTCGTGTGCGCAGGTTCTGATTGTTGGCGACGGTGATGACGACTTCGCGTTGAAGTTGGTGCTCGCGCTGAACGAAACGTCCCGAGGAGCACATGTGCTGCCCGCAGCAACTATCCCAGAACCAAGTATCTTTTCCGGACGGCTCGCTTTGGGCGATGGCTGCGTACGTTGGGTTCGGTTGAAGTGACTCGCGGCGAGGTGTGGTGTTGTCAAGTTGCTCTTCCGGTGAGTAGTGTGGCGGTGACTCGGTGATACAGGAGTCGCTCAGTCTTGCCATACAACTGACGATGTTCCTTGCTCCTTGTGCAGGTTGTCCCGTTGATGTCGTTTGAACTTGAGCGATGGGGTTCGCTTGTGTTGAAGCGACTTGGCTGCTTGAAGGTCGAAGCTGTCGCTGTGGCGGTGTTGATTGTTGCCGATTCGGGCAGTGTGTTCGCGGATGTCCTGACGTCTTGCAGAGATGGCAGAACGGAGGTACAGGCTTTGGTTGATGTCGGCTGTTGTTGTTGTTGTAGCGTCGCTGAGTGTGGAACGCAAATTCGGAAACTGGCGTTTTCTTCTTGTGCCGCTCCTCTTGCAGCAGGTCCATGTCTTGCTGCTCGGCGTGAATTTCGGCGCAGAGTGCTGCTTCGGAAATCTTCCCGTGAGCTCGGAGAATGGCTCGAGTGGAGCGCCAATGAGGACCAAGTCCAGTGATGACGATTGTGACGAAGGCTTCTTCGGAGATTGACCCTCCGCATAGAAGGAGTTTGTCGCGTAGTTCGCGGCAGCGGCTGATATACGCCATTCCCTTTTCGCCTGGTTTCATCTCGACTGTTGTCAGTCGCGCCATCAATCGACTCTTATTTACCCTGTCTGTTGCTTGATACAGGCTCTTCAAGTGGCTGTATGCCAGTTCGGCGGAGTTGCCGTATCCCCGGTAAGACCGTATATTCTGCTGCTGATTCGGAGTCATGTTCCTCGGTAGAATCGTATACGCCATCATTGACTGATACGTGTACTGCTGTTTGTCATATTGTGTGTCGTGTGTCAGATATGGCAGGGATCCGTCAAAGAAGCCAAGAATCTGCGCGCCTTCCATCATCAATTCGAACTCGAATGACCAGGTGAAGAAGTCCTTTCCGTCGAAGGGCCTTGACGTCTGCAGTTTTAAGACGTGCGCGAACTGCGACTCAACTTGAAGTGCGTCCAGTGTCTTCTTTTGTCCAGGTGCAGGCTGTGGTTGTGGCATAAAGCTGACGGAGCCGCGCTAAGGCTTGTACGGAGCAAAGGTAGGTTGCTGCTGTTGATTTCCACGTGCGTAGGATGAACCATCAAGGCTCATTGGAGTCACGTTGTTGTTGTTGTTGCTGTTGTTTGATTGCGCAGGTGCCGACTATTGGTGTTGCTCGTAGAAGGACATGAAGGAGAAAAACTTCTCCATCATGTTCTGATCGAAGCCTGCAGATTGATTCGCAGGAGTCTCAGTAGAAGTTGCTCTTGGTCTTGTTGCCGTACCCTCCTCTGTCTGTAGGCCAGAGGCAGGAGGTGGAGTAGGAGCAGTACACGGGGAGCCGTTAGAGGAGCTCCTTTCCTTTTGTGTTGCCATGTCTTCTGACGTTGTAGATAACTTGATAATGTTTGAGTTCCCCCTGTTAGCTCTCATACCATGTTGGGCTGAGAAATGCCCTTAGGATCTTTGGAAGTCAACACCGACGAAGCAGAACGCATAGGGCCCAATTTCTTACCTGAGTAGGACTTGTTGTAATTAGCGGATCTTTGCAGGGCGGAAGTGTTTGAACCACCTTGCGCTGGTATGTGAGGGCAAAGTGAATTGATTAAAGCAAAGAGATACAAGATTATATAAGAGTACAAGGAATACGAAGAGATACGGTTCCAACTGTTTTACTGTTGCTGTTGCGGTTCGATACAGTGACGACTCGAGCAACTGCTCTGTAACGAGTCAGTTGTGTGTCCTTGCTGTCACGCTGTACTTGTCAGGTCAAAGGTCGCTGACCTTTGACTTTCGCGTAACCTCCAGCAACTGCTCAACCTCCGAGGGTTGACTCGCCAGTGCTTCGATATGCTTCGCTTCGTTTCTGACTTGGTGTTTCGACACGACAGAGGCGCTTAGAGTTAATTGTTTCCAACAGAAGGAAGGAGTGCGTGTAAGTAAATATTGAAAAAGTGATTAATATGACTGCCAGTGAAATAAAGCCGTAGTGAGTTATAACGAGGGACCGGGAAATTGAAATATGGAGCTGGATGCTTATTGGCTGAAACATTTTATTATAATCAATCATGTTATTTACATTCGCTACGACAAAGGTTCATGCTCGAAGAATTATAACACACTGTAATACTCTAGCAGACTTATCCTGTCCAAGATCCTTCGTTTTTTAACACATCTCACTACCATACCACTAAACACATTTTGCCAGCATGAGCCAAACTTTAAAAGGTGAAATGAATGGTTTTTGTAATGATAGTTCAACGTTACGATACAGTTTCGTAACCGATGTGTTACCTCCTGGAAGTCTGGGCTGACGTGGGGGAAATTTCGTTTCAGGAGGGAGAGCAGATAGGATAGACCAGCGTTAGCTCAGGCAGTACGATGATGCCACGTCACAGTGCGCGAATTAGTCGCGAAATCCTCGGAGCAAGTAGCATCATCCATCGGGGTTGGCTGAGCACCTCGCTCCGCTGCCCTCGGGAGTTGGGGCAACCGCAGGGAGGACCAGCCAGGAGGCCCACGCGATTCCACACGGGTCCCAGCATTGCTCCTGCCTCCCTCATATCCAGTCAGTCTGCACTTCGGAAGAGCAAGCCAAGCTCTCAACCAACCCTCCTGTGTTCGAAGTGTGCCACTCTAGCCTTCCACTAGCAACCATGGCTGCCGTGGCATCTTCGTCCGCTGTCCTCAGGAGCTCGTTCCTTGGCCAGAATGTCGTCGCTCCCCGCGTGGAGTCCGCCTCCCGCACGGTGATGACCCTCGGCAAGAAGAAGTCCGCTGCTGCCAAGAAGGCCGCGCCTGCTTCCGCCATTGATGCCGAGCTGGCCAAGTGGTATGGTGAGTAATCCGACCAGCGGCCATCCGACCAGCCTCAAGAACTGCCGCTGTTTAGCCTTCGAATATTCGTAGCAATTAATTAACAATCTTGTCGGCATTGCAGGCCCCGACCGCAGGACCTATCTTCCCGAGGGTCTCCTCGACAAGTCTGAGATCCCGTCGTACCTGACTGGCGAGGTTCCCGGCGAGTAAGCCCCCTTGCCGTACATGCAGTCCTAATTGCAGCTTCGTCGTTGCTTTCGCCTCCGCAATTTCCTTTTTCTCTTCCACATTTTCCTCGTGCTAACGGTCCTCCTTCACCTCTTCGTGCTATCCAGCTATGGCTACGATCCCCTGGGCCTGAGCAAGAAGCCCGCTGACTTCGAGAAGTACCGCGCCAACGAGGTGATCCACGGTCGCTGGGCCATGCTCGGCGCTGCCGGCTTCATCCTGCCCGAGGCGTTCAACAAGTACGTGCCCGGCGTGTGCGGTCCCGAGGCCGTGTGGTTCAAGACCGGTGCTCTCCTGCTCGAGGGTGACAGCATCCAGTACCTGGGTGCCACCATCCCCGTCAACCTGGCTATCGCCACCCTCGCCGAGGTCGTCCTCGTCGGCGGTGCTGAGTTCTACCGCGGCAAGAACGCATCTCCTCTCGGCACCGTGAGTACATGACCAGAAAAACTCATCGTCGCTTCGTGGCTCTCGCTTCGTTGCTGCTGCACTTTCACCTGGTACTAAATGTTCGCGTCTGTTTCCGCTGTTCTTTCTTCAGGACCTCGACACCCTGTACCCCGGCGGTTCCTTCGACCCCCTTGGCCTCGCCTCGGACCCCGACACCCTGGCCATCCTCAAGGTGAAGGAGCTGAAGAACGGCCGGCTCGCTATGTTCTCGATGCTCGGATTCTTCATCCAGGCCAAGGTCACCGGCGAGGGCCCAGTGGAGAACCTGACCACCCACTTGAGCGACCCCTTCGGCAACAACCTTCTGACCTCGCTCGGCTCTGCCGCGGACCGTGTGCCCACCTTGTAAGGTGGAATTTGCAGTATTCTAGCCGTATTTACAATGAGCGCGTATGCGCGATTTTGATGTAAAGGTCTTACGGTGATAATGTGAAAAGCTTCAACCACCATGGCTTGTTACGAACAGTTAAAGACCGCAGACTCTCCCAGAGCTAATTTTTGAAGAGATTTCTTCTCTCAGTGTTGAATCGTCAACCGCCATTCTCGAATCTCTACAGAATTCAGTCTATAATTAGCTAGTGGTTGCGGAGGCGTAGATACAGAAGATAGAATGTTTATATGGGTATCACTCACAACATACATATGTTTAAGCAGAATCAATAGAGGGTTGTATGAAATTCTAGGCTCCAGCTTCCTATGCTTGAATCAATACCTAGAACTTGTATTGATACAATAGTTTGTATGCAGGGTTGCTTATCAACACTTATCTTGCTCCATATCATTTTTCCAACCGCGTACAGCCTATCTAATTTTCCTGGCCTTGTGATTCCTGGTCAGCATGGCTGATCCAAGTGCAATGGCTTTCCTGTGACAAGCTCTCACACAGACTAGGTTACCAACTTGTCAAGTTTCTTGACACGCTCAGGGGCGCAGTTCGCGGGTGAGTTCCGTGGTGAATTTACTGCCTTCTCCTGCCTTCAACTTTCTCACCATACACCTTCTCACCGCTCTGTACCGAATTCCGCTTCCGTGCAACCCTCCACCTTCCGACCGCTTTCCCTTCGTCATACCTTGGCACACACAAATCCGCTCACCTTGAAGGCGAGATTCGTCCAGTCCAGACTCCCTCGTCCCCTGCTTTCTTGCCGTGGAGCCTCCTCCCTCATTTCACCCACCAACCTTCCGCAGAGTCCCATGCGGTCCTCCCCGTGCGGTGCAAGCGGAGCAGGTTCCGCTGCGGGTGCAGATCCGGGGGAATGGGGGAGCGTAGACGCGCGGGGAGATAAGGGGGAGCTGGGGGTAGCGAGAGAAAGGGGAGGCGCGGAAGCCGTGATGGGGGAGGGGAGCGGGGAGGGGTACGGGGAGGTGGCACAAGCCCGCGCAGGGAGAGATGCGGACGGGGGAAGGGGGAACATGGCGGGGGAAGGGGGGGAACGCGCAGCGGAAGCGCAATCCGAAGCGGAGAGAGGGGGGGGCGCTGGAAGCAGGGTGGAGACGGGAGGTCGAGCGGAAGGAGAGACAGGGCCGGTGCGGGAGGGGGAGGGGGAGAGGAACGGGGAAGGAGGGGGAGCGGGAGCGGGAGCGGGAGCGCGAGCGGAGGCGGAGGCGGAGGCGGGGGCGGGAGCAGAAGAGGATCTGTCGACGATAGACCCGTGCCACATCATCAGGCTGATCCGCACACTGCTGGAGGAGGCGGGGGGGGGAGATGCGGAGGGAAGGGGAGGGGGAGACGGGGCAGAGGCGGTTAGCGAGGGAGGGAGGGGTGGGAGGGGAACAGGCGGGGGAGGCGGAGTGCGGGGAGAAGCGGAAGAAGCAGGGGGGGTTGGAATGGACGAGGGGGGGGAGGAAGGGGCAGGGGAGGCGAGAGCGCGCGCTGGAGGGGAGAGAGAGGGAGAGAGGGGGATTGCAGGTGGGGAGGTGAGAGAAAACGGGTTGAGAGGTGAAGGTAGAGGCGGTGGTGATGCTGATGATGATGATGATGATGGGAAGGGGAAGGAGGGCGCATGGGAGGGGGAGGGAGGAGGCGCGAGGGAGGGCGGCGAGGGGAGGAGGGAGGAGGCAGGGTGTGTGCTGTGGGACCTGGCGGCCAGTGAAGAACATGCCGAGCTCATGGTGGGTGCTATGGTGGGTGTTGCGGTGGGTGTTGCGGTGGGTGTTGCGGTGGTTAATATGGTGGGTGCTCCATATTTGCAGAAGCGTGTGTACTGTCTATTAGGATGGTGGAATGGCGTGACCTGACTGGTAACAAATCGTTTTCTTTAGAGGTACACCCTGTTCGGATATGAGACATGGATGGTGGGCGCATGCACATCTAAGCTCCATGCAGGTTCGCTGTGCGGATTGGCTCGCTGAGTTGAGTCATTGCGACCGATGTGCATGCCCTTGCCATGGGTGCGTGCGCCTGGTTGTCCATGCCATGTCATGCCATCTCATGCCATGCCATGTCATGCCATCTCATGCCACGCGCCATACCATGTTGTTGGTGCCATGTGTGTGTGCATGTGTGCATGTGTGTGTGTGTGTGCGTGTGTGCATGTGTGCATGTGTGCATGTGTGCGTGTGTGCATGTGCATGTGTGCATGTGTGCATGTGTGCATGTGTGCGTGTGTGCATGTGTGCGTGTGTGCGTGTGTGCCTGTGTGCCTGTGTGCGTGTGTGCGTGTGTGCGTGTGTGCATGTGTGCATGTGTGCATGCGTGCATGCGTGCGTGCGTGCGTGTGTGCGTGTGTGCATGTGTGCATGTGTGCATGTGTGCGTGTGTGCGTGTGTGCATGTGTGCCACGTGTGCATGTGTGCATGGCAGGTACGCAGCCATGTACTGGACGTGGTGCTCTCTGTGCTCGCCTCTCTCTCCTCATCACCACGACTCAAGGTCTGCCCTGCACGTCCCTGCCCTGCCCTGCACGTCACTGCCCTGCCCTGCACGTCACTGCCCTGCCCTGCCCTGCTTTGCCCTGTCCTGTCCTGCACCACTACATGCCCGCGCTTCCCATGCCTGCATTGCCTCACTCACTCACACTCCCATGTGCACCCACTGAGGATGCATCCACCACGCGCCTTGCTCCCGCACTACTTATTTTCCCGCTACTGTTCATGATTGCTTGTGCCTTTATACCTGTGCACAATGCCAGGTCTGTATGCGTGTGGCATTTACAATAGCTACCTGCGACCTACTTTGAACTTTGCACATCTCCTTGCAAGCATTTCCAAGCATGCATCACAGAGCTCTCAAGGCATCAGATCCCGTTGTACCATATCTCTCTCATTCTCTCATACCCCCTCGCCTATTCTGTCTCCCGCCTCACGCCTTTCCTCCAATACACTGCTCTCCGTCACCTCACTCCACCCCTGTTCTCGCCCATGCCCACCGCCACTCACTCATTGTTCCCTGATTCGTCTCAACCCGTTTACCACGCATTCCCATCCCTCTCCTGTCCACGTCTCCCTCCCACGCCCTACACCACTCCCCCACCCACACCCTGGTCAGGAGATCTGCATGGGGCTGCTTGCCAACCTGGCATGCCACGTGGCGCCAGCACACAGCATGACTGCCATGGGCATGGGCGGCGGCGACAGTGCGGCGCCCAGCAGCATGATGCATGCGGTGGTGGGCGTGCTAATGGGGGAGGACGACCCCCCCTGCCTCACTGAGACCTGCCGGTAAGGGTGCCTCATATTTGGTTGGGTGGTAATGGTGGATGGTGGATGGAGGATGGATCGTGAAGGGGAAATGGTGAGTGGTGAATGGTGAGTACGCGAGGGTCAATTTTTTAGGCACCTCAAGAAGGGGGAATGGTGAATGGTGAATACGCGAGGGTCAGTTCATGGTCAATGGTCAACTGCCTATTTATGACGCATGCGGTGTTGCCTGCCTGTGCTCATGACCCAAGTCAAGGCAGAGCAGAACACCCCATTCCTCAGTAAAAGGCTCCTTGTATACTGCAAAGAGTGCCTCATGCAAAACGACATACCGGTATAGTGTCGCGTAGAGTACCACAAACAGTTTCCTACCTAAACTACTAATTGTCGCCTGTAATTACCATTTACAGGGGTACATGACACAAACCACCACAACGGATGTTACATTGATTAAACGAAAGAAAGAAAGAAAAAAAAAACCGCGAAGTCTAATACATAAAACACCAGGAAGTGCGCCACAGTGTGTCGCCTTCCCTTTGCAATGAGTGTACCCCTGTGCACCCATTCCCACCACCTGCACACCAGGCTGTTAGGCACGGTGCTACGCGGTGCGGAGTCAGAGGCATGGGCGGCGTTCCTGTCAGGCTCTGCTGCTGACTGCCTGCCCCGCGTGCTCTGGATCGCCGCCAACACCCTGCACCCGGAACTGCTGCGCAAGGTACACGCTGGGGAGGGTGGGGTGTGGTGGGGTGCTGTGGAATGTGGTGTGGTTGGGAGAGGTGGGGTGGGGTGGGCCTCGGTGTGGCATGGCAAGAGACGGCGGGTTCTGTTGTGAAAAAGACTCTTTGTTTGGAGTCGGATGGGGTGTGGCAGTGGCACTGAAGGCTGTGCCTTTGGGCCCATTAACCTGCTGCGATCATTCTATGTATTTCTATATCATTCTGATGTATATGCTTCAGACTGTGAGTTGAGTTGCAGTTCGTCAGCTGTAACTGCGATAGAAAGCACTGACCAACTCTGAATAACTGCGGAAATCCCACGTATCCGGCTCTACACAATCGCCGCTGTCAAAACGAGGTGACTTTTGAGTCGACTCAAAAGTCACCTCGTATTTCGGCTCTACACAATCGCCGCTGTCAAAACTCCCAACCCGGCCCTGTCTTGCCCGGTGTGCTGCCTGTATCTTGCTTAGGCGGTTGCGAGTTGCAACTCAATCTTTGAGATGAAACGTCTTGGTTTTCAACACCAGCAGCAGCACCAGCAGCACGACCACCATCACCACCCCCCCACCCATGCGCACACGCACAGTGCAGTATCAGCCTTGTGAGTCAGCAGCGCAGAAAACTCACTTTTGAGTCGACTCAAAAGCAGTATCAGCCTTGTGAGTCAGCTGCGCAAAGAACTCAAACGCCATACTTTTGAGTCATCTCAAAAGAACCTCCTCCCCACCGTTTTCAGTGCACGGACCTGCTGCTGGCAATGGTGGACTCCTCGCACCCGGCAGCACATGTGCTGCTGTCTTTTGAGCACACGCCAAACACCATCCTTTTGAGTCAACTGAACCCCAACCCCCACCCCCCACCACTCCCCCCGAGCCCCCTCTCTCCCGCCATGTTCAGTGCACAGACCTGCTGCTGGCAATGGTGGACTCCTCGCACCCCGCATCACGCGTGCTGCTCCCTGCGCTGCTCGCCCTGCCGCTGCTCTCCACCCTCACTGACCTCATTGCGTCTGAGATGGACCGACTCGCAGACGGCTCTCGGGACGAGTGAGTAGTCGCACCGCTCCCCACCGCTCCACACCGCACCACTTTTCATCCCATGCTGCCTGCGTTGCTCGCCCTGCCACCGCTCTCCACCCTCGCTGACCTCATTGCGTCTGAGATGGACCGACTCGCAGACGGCTCTCGGGACGAGTGAGTAGTCGCACCGCACCCCACCGCTCCACACCGCACCACTTTTCATCCCATGCTGCCTGCGTTGCTCGCCCTGCCACCGCTCTCCACCCTCGCTGACCTCATTGCGTCTGAGATGGACCGACTCGCAGACGGCTCTCGGGACGAGTGAGTAGTCGCACCGCACCCCACCGCTCCACACCGCACCACTTTTCATCCCATGCTGCCTGCGTTGCTCGCCCTGCCACCGCTCTCCACCCTCGCTGACCTCATTGCGTCTGAGATGGACCGACTCGCAGACGGCTCTCGGGACGAGTGAGTAGTCGCACCGCTCCCCGCCGCTCCACACCGCACCACTTTTCATCCCATGCTGCCTGCGTTGCTCGCCCTGCCACCGCTCTCCACCCTCGCTGACCTCATTGCGTCTGAGATGGACCGACTCGCAGACGGCTCCAGAGACGAGTGAGTAGTCGCACCGCACCCACCGCTCCACACCGCACCACTTTTCATCCCATGCTGCCTGCGTTGCTCGCCCTGCCACCGCTCTCCACCCTCGCTGACCTCATTGCGTCTGAGATGGACCGACTCGCAGATGGCTCCAGAGACGAGTGAGTAGTCGCACCGCACCCCACCGCTCCACACCGCACCACTTTTCATCCCATGCTGCCTGCGTTGCTCGCCCTGCCACCGCTCTCCACCCTCGCTGACCTCATTGCGTCTGAGATGGACCGACTCGCAGACGGCTCTCGGGACGAGTGAGTAGTTGCACCGCTCCCCACCGCTCCACACCGCACCACTTTTCATCCCATGCTGCCTGCGTTGCTCGCCCTGCCACCGCTCTCCACCCTCGCTGACCTCATTGCGTCTGAGATGGACCGACTCGCAGACGGCTCCAGAGACGAGTGAGTAGTCGCACCGCACCCCACCGCTCCACACCGCACCACTTTTCATCCCATGCTGCCTGCGCTGCTCGCCCTGCCACCGCTCTCCACCCTCGCTGACCTCATTGCGTCTGAGATGGACCGACTCGCAGACGGCTCTCGGGACGAGTGAGTAGTCGCACTGCTCCCCACCGCTCCACACCGCACCACTTTTCATCCCATGCTGCCTGCGTTGCTCGCCCTGCCACCGCTCTCCACCCTCGCTGACCTCATTGCGTCTGAGATGGACCGACTCGCAGACGGCTCCAGAGACGAGTGAGTAGTCGCACCGCACCCCACCGCTCCACACCACACCACTTTTCATCCCATGCTGCCTGCGCTGCTCGCCCTGCCACCGCTCTCCACCCTCGCTGACCTCATTGCGTCTGAGATGGACCGACTCGCAGACGGCTCCAGAGACGAGTGAGTAGTCGCATTGGCACTGCACTGCACCACACCACACCAGACCGCACCACACCGCACCGCACCACCTCTCATCCTCTGCTCCCTGCACCTCCACCCTACTTTCACTTATTTTTCCTCACTCTGGTTTCTCCACCACCACCCACGTGGCACGTTCAGGTGTCCATCTTCTCTCGCCCCTTCCCCTCCCTACCCTCCCTCCCGTCCCTCCCCTCCCTCCCCTCCCCTCCCTCCCTTTCCCTAGCCCCTGCACTCCACTTTACTCCCTGTTTTACTCCAAGACACATCTTTGATGCATACCCCATCCCGCCCATCCCAACCAACCCATCCCTCCTACCCATGCCATCCACCCATTTACACGCATCCCACCCATCCTACCCATCTGATCCCACCCATCGCACCCAACCCACCGTGCCATCCACCAGTGATGACATCTTGGACTCGCTCCTCCAAGTGCCCGAAGCCATCTCTCTCACGGATCCAGGCCCATAGTGGAGTAGCAGCAAATCCATCCCATCCCATCCCATCCCATCCCATCCCATCCCATCCCATCCCATCCCATCCCATCCCATCCCATCCCATCCCATCCCATCCCATCCCATCCCATCCCATCCCATCCCATCACATTCCGCCCACCAGTGATGACATCCTGGATGCGCTCCTGCAAGTGCCTGAGGCCATCTCTCTTGCGCCCGACCCTCCGTCTGCTCTCCTCGCCGCCCATCCCCGCATGCTCCCCCTCGCTGTCTCTGTCGTCGCCTCTGCTCCATCCCATGCTGTGAGTGTGTTGTTCCATGCTGTACTCGCAGCATGCCCATGCCCATGCCCATGCCCATGCCCATGCCCATGCCCATGCCCATGCCCATGCCCATGCCATGCCCATGCCCATGCCCATGCCCATGCCCATGCCCATGCACATGCACAAGATGCCAATAACCTGCACTTTCCATGCCAGACCTTGTACTGCCCTGCCATGCCATGCCACACCATGCTGCAAATGCATTGATTGTGTGACGCCTCCCCCCATCCCCCCGTGAGTCTTCAGTCGTACCTTGTTCTCTCCAATGCAGTGAAAATTTAACGCCCCCCTTTACTCTCCCCTTCTCATGTTTCTCACCACCTGGTCCCCCCGGTCCCCTCCCTGCCCTTCACCCTCTCACACCACACCACGGCCACTCTTGCAGGTGGCGGCAGCAGCAGTGACAGCAGCAGTGCTAGCAGCCAACATCATAGCAGACGACCCCTCTCTCATTCCGCACCTCCAACTCCCCCCCCGTCGCATCCGCTCTTTCTTCCTCTCTTCCCTCCCGCCCTGTCATGCTCCCTCTCACACCACACCACACCACACCACACCACACCACACCACACCACACCACACCACACCACACCACACCACACCACACCACACCACACCACGGCCATGCCTGCAGGTGGCGGCGGCAGCAGTGACAGCAGCAGTGCTAGCAGCCAACATCATAGCAGACGACCCCTCCCTCATCCCGCACCTCATTGCAGGTCTGTCCCTCGCACCCCCGCCCCCCTTGCACCCCCGCCCCTTGCACCCCCGCCCCTTGCACCCCCGCCCCTTGCACCCCCGCCCCTTGCACCACCTCCCCTTGCACCCCCGTCCCTTGCACCACCTCCCCTTGCCCCACCTCCCCTTGCCCCTCTGTCCGTACAGGCCGCTTTCTCTGTCATCGCACGGCTTTTTCCTGTGTCATGCCTGTCTCCGTGGCCGCCCATCCGCCTCCATGTCCGCTTCTCCATTCATCCACCTCCATTCACCTCCATTCATCCACCTCCATTCACCTCCATTCATCCACCTCCATTCACCTCCATTCATCCACCTCCATTCACCTCCATTCATCCACCTCCATTCACCTCCATTCATCCACCTCCATTCACCTCCATTCATCCACCTCCATTCACCTCCATTCATCCACCTCCATTCACCTCCATTCATCCACCTCCATTCACCTCCATTCATCCACCTCCATTCACCTCCATTCATCCACCTCCATTCACCTCCATTCATCCACCTCCATTCACCTCCATTCATCCACCTCCATTCACCTCCATTCATCCACCTCCATTCACCTCCATTCATCCACCTCCATTCACCTCCATTCATCCACCTCCATTCACCTCCATTCATCCACCTCCATTCACCTCCATTCATCCACCTCATTCATCCACCTCCATTCATCCACCTCCATTCATCCACCTCCATTCATCCACCTCCATTCATCCACCTCCATTCAGACCAGATCAGATGCAATCGGAAGTCTGATCATCGTTGTACCTGATGGGGGATGGGTCATCTTCTCGTTTCCTCGTTTTCTCTCCTTCACGCTCCCTCCTTTCCCACCCTCTTTCCCCTCCTCCCCCACTCCCTCCACGCCCACCGCACCCACCCACCCACCCGCACACCCCTCTCCACCACCTCGCACCTCCCCAACCGCTCCACACCTCGCAGCACCGCAGTTTGTGCCGCGCCTGCTGGCCCTGCTCCCGTTGGTCTCGGACGACGAGGGTGCGCGCACTGCTGTGTGGTCGCTACTGCACGCTCTCTGCTCCCACGCCCTCGCACGTGGGGGAGGGGTGCGTGTCGTGCGCGGGGCAGGGGAGCCTAGTTTTGAGGCGCCTCAAAACGATGCTCTCTGCACCCACGCCCTCGCACGTGGGGGAGGGGTGCGTGTCGTGCGCGGGGCAGGGAAGCCGAGGGATGGGCTTGTAGGGGAGGAAGAGGAGGAGAGAGGGTTGGGGGATTGTCCTGAGGGGGGCCGACAGGAGCGGATGCAGGAGGATGGAGGGGAAGGTGAGGGGGAGGTGGGAGGAGCGGAGGGACAGCAGCAGCAGCAGCAGGAGGCACGTAGTGCAGGAGTGGCTGAAAATTCTGAGCAAATGGAGGGAGGAGCAACAACGGCAGCACACCCAGAGGCATCAACTGCATCAGCATCAGCATCAGCATCAGCATCAGCATCAGGATCAGTATCATCATCCGCAGCAGCAGCAGCAGCAGCAGCAGCGGTGGTGGTGAGCGCAGTGGTATCAGAGTACGAGAGGATTGTGGATGACCTGCAGCAGCATGAGGAGCATGAGGCGGCTTGTGTGCACGTGGGCGACGGGAGTGGAGGTGCCAGGAGTGAGAGCGGTGGCGAGGAGGAGAAGGGTGGGCATGTGGGTGGAAGGGAGGGGAGAGCAGGGGATGCGGATGTGGATATGGGGGAGGTGGAGATGGGGGAAGGGGAGTGGAGGGATGGCGGAGCGAATGGGGCTTGTGGGGGTGGCGCAGTGGCAGCTCACACACAAGGCCACAAGGCAACAGTATGTGTCTGTGTGCTCCCGCTCTCTTCCTTGCACCTTTCTTTCTCCCTCTTCTTGTCCCTTCCGCTCCAGTCTCTACTCCCCTCTTCCCCTCTTTCTTCAAACCTGCCTTTCATTTTCCCCAGTCGGTAAGCTACCACTATGCAGTGAATGCCCTTGGAGGCAAGTCTGTTTTTGAGAGTTGCCTCCGTCCTGGTCCCACCACCTACATTCAAACAACAGCTTGCAATACCGTATCATCCCCCTAACCCCTGGCCATTCGCGTGCGATGAGTCGATTTTTGAGTCGACTCAAAAATCGACTCACCACCTACATTCAAACAAAACAGCAAACAGCAGCTTGCAATACTGTATCATCCCCGGACCCCTGGCCATTCCTTGCTGTCAACCCACCCTCTCACTCTCTTGCCTTTGAACACCCAGGTATTGCTGCTGATTCGCCTCCTTGAGCAAGCCACTTCACTCCCCCCACCAGCTTCTAACCACGGAGACCCTTCAATGGTAGCAGCAGCCCCAGAGCGACAAGCAGGAGATGCAGCACAGGCTGATTTGAATGCCGTTGGAGCAATATTGCCTTCATCATATGCACACGCACATGCACATTCCATGTTGCTGGACCCCAGCCAGCCCATGTCAATTTCGCAAACACATTTTGGAGGAGATTTGGATCGGGTACGAGCAGCTGTGGCTGCCTTGCGGCAATGCCTTGGTCTGTGAGAGATTGTGTGATAATGCAGAATGCATTTTGGCCTTCGATTTCGTTCCCATGGGTTGCGCTGGTAGCTACGGTACTGCACCTGGGTTCTCATGTGACGCGAGTGAAACAATTGGCATTCGGTACATTAACAGTTACAGAAAACTCCAAGGTGAGGGCCTTAGAAGAACAGAAAGATTGAAGTGGCATGTCCGCAAGCGCATATCGCGAACTATTCGCCAAGAGTTAATGAGCAAGCTTGTCTTTGTGGTTAGCAAGCAAGCTTTGCTAAAATTGTATTACGTGCTTCAAGACGTCCTGGGGATCGGTTGGGGTGTCGAATCTGACGGTGCGGAGGCGAACGGCGGGTGTGATCCGTCTCGTTTGTACGCGATACAGTAGCGTGTGACACTTCCAATTTTCAGTACAGTAACAACTGCCACCAAGAAAAATTATGACGTACAGTCGGTGCCCATTTCAAGAACACCAGGTAGGCGGGCGACATGTGCGTGAAACAAGTATTAGACATTTCGCCACGTTCGCCCTTGTCGCCACGGGCAAAAATGTGACTAATATGAAATTGCAACGTGAATCGAGTTAAGGGCTTTAATTTCGTAACCAGGTTAACTTCTCTGATGACGGGCAACCGTTGTTGTTTATGAACTGTAGATGTTTTTCTTCCTCAACTTGGTGACTGTACCCTGAAATCGGCACAATGGTCAATTTAGTCACTCACGGGCAAAACGTTCGCGAGTGACTAAATTCTAATTGTGAAGAGCAAATGTTTTGTGATAGGCTGAGCATCGACTGTAGACGTACGCGCTAGTCACACCTGTCACACAGAAAAATATCCTCCCTTCCAACCAATCCAAGCGATCCGCGCGGAACCTGCCAGAAGAAAGCTAGCTGCTTTTTCCGGTTCGATTCCCGATCGGCGGCGAGAGGTTCGGTTCGGTTCGTTTCGGCTCATCAGATAGGGCATTTGGTGGTTGTTGACTTGCGGGCAAACCATGTGCAACGTGGTCTGCGAAGTGAGGAACGATGGATGTGTGCGCCGTGATTCGCGATGATATCTTCGTGATCGCGTAGCTTCATCCCACGCGCTGCCCCGCACCGCCATGTCGTGGCCGCTCCCACGCGTTTCATCCTCTCGCGCGCTCCGCTCTCTCCCGGCCTGTGCTCCGCGAGCGTATTCGCGTCTCGCCACCTTACACGCTTCTCGTTACGTTTGCCTCGGCGTAGCTGCCGCGGACACGTGTCAGACCACCGTTGGTCGGTCGAGCTATTTCAGTAGGCTTTTCTGTCCGATTTTCCACTTTCAGGCGCAGATTCCGCCGCCGGGGGTACATTGCGTCCCGATTCGCGGTTACTTGCCGTCTGTCGCCCATACGAGTCGTCGTGCGTCGCTGTGCATCGCGCAGCGACTCTGCGAGTCTGGGCGAAGCGGATTGCGTGCAAGTCGTGTGCGCGGCGAGGGTTCGAATCTCGCCGCCGGCTTTTTCGCCAGGGTATAATCACCTGCTTCCTGGCTTGCGCACTTCGATGCATCTAATGAATGGAGTCATCCATAGCAGTGCATATACGCATCATGCTTTTAGAGATCCGATGCTGCGGAATGTGGTATTTTGGAACTGGGACGAGACGATCTGCACTGGGGGCAGAGTGTTATTTGAAGCATATTAAAAGGCTGGGTGTGGAATGGTGCAGACGAGAAGCTATAAGAACTCCAAGGAAGGAAGGAGATGGAGGAGGGAGGGGAAAATAGATTCAGGGTTCAGGGTTTCGGGTGCTGGTCGGTGGATCAGGGCTGGTTGCTAGTTGATCTGCGTGCGTTCACCAAGCCGAATCCTCTCTCGAACGCAGGTTTCGTGACTGATATGGCAGTCAGCACGGCAATTGCCACACTTGGCAGCTCAGCACTTCGTTCAGCGTGAAATAGAAGAGGCTTGTGTCTTAAAACGCGGATGCGAAGGGATCCTGTATCAGGCGTCTCTCGCCCGCCGTAACTGCTACGGTGCTGCCTGTGCCTCGCTTCGCGTCGTCTTTGGCCTCGTCAATACGCTGCCACATAGCCCACCTCAGCTTGTTTCGAGTCGGCTCAGAGCACATTTTCGAGTCACCTTAGAACATCTCTGGCCTCGTCGATCCCGTGCCACATTGCCCGCCTCGCGCCTGCTAGCCCCTCGTGCCCGTGCCTTCCCTTCTGCCTTCCCCTACCGTCTCGCTCTTTTCATTCTTTGTAACTTACTTTCTCCCTCCCTCCCTCCCTCCCTTCCTCGTCCCGCTTCTCGTTGTGTGCACACTTGGCAGCCAGCTGGGACCAGCAAGAGGGGGTTCACTAGCAGCAGCGCCGGCAGCAGGAGCAGCAGCAGCAGCAGCAGCAGCAGCAGCAGCAGCAGCAGCAGTGGTGGTGGTGGTGGTGGGTGCAGCAGAGTAGCCCGTCCGATGGCCCTCACACAGGCTACGCCCATGGCTGCCCTGCCGTCTCTTGCTCTCTTGAGATGCTTCGCCGCGCCCGTTCCCACCCTCCACACCGCATCCCCCTCCGCCACTTCCTTCCTTCCCCTCAAAAGCCAGTGCGCCAGGTCACGTGGCATCAGCACCGCTGCTTGCTGCAGCAGTAGCAGCAGCACCAGCAGCAGCGGGAACAACAACAACAGCAGCAGCAGCGGAAACAGCAGCAGCAGCAGATCCAGTGGCAGTGGCAGCGGAAACAACAGCATGAGAGGCAGTTCACCCCCTGGAAGCAGGGGCTATGGCAGCCTGGCTTCTGACATCAATTCGGCCGCTCCTGCTGCTGCTGCTCCTGCGGCACTCACTGCTGCGGCGGCTGCGGCTGCTGCTGGTCACGGGACGCACGCAGGGGAGGGTTCCACAGCGGAGAGAAGCCGGAGGAAGAAGGAGCGGGCGCAGGGGAAAAGCGGTGCTGCTTCTCCCGCTGGTCATGGTGCCCATTCGGGTAGCAAAAGCGCTCGTGGAAGTGGTAAAGGTGGTGGTGATGGCGCTGGTGGTAGCAGTGGTGGTGTGGGTAGAGCCGGGGGTGGTGCGGCTAGCAGCAGCAAGAGTGGGCGTGGCAAGAGGTCAAAAGGCAAAGGGAAGGAGGGAGGTACGATACTTCCGGTCCTTGTTACTTTAGCGCTGCTTTCTTGTGTCACATCATGCTCTTTTTTGTGCCCTCCCCTTGCTCATCCATCCCCCACCTTCTCCACCAACGCCCTTCCGCCCTCTCATGCTCTCTTCCCCCTTTTGCCTTACCCTTTGCCGCCCCCCTCTGCTCCTCCTCCTTTCCCCATTCTTTTCCTTCTTCCCCTCTCCCATTTCTCCCTTACCTTTTTTCTCTTCACTCTTCCCCCCCTCCCCGCTTTCCCCCTCCCCCGTCCTGCCCGCTCCGCCTTACGCCCGAGCCCCTGTCCCCCTCCTCTGCCGCCCTGTCCCTGTCGTCCCCCTCTGCCCTCACCGCATGGAGCATGCATAGGGGCGGCCCCAGCAGTGGTGCTGCGAGCAGGGCAGCACCCAATGCGCCCGCACCTCATCCCCTTCGCCCTTCCCCCTCTCCTCTCTTACCGGATTCTCTGTCCCATTCCTATGCCGTGCTGTCCCCATCAACCCCCCTGTCCCCATCACCGCATGGAGCATGCATAGGGGCGGCCGCAGCAGTGGTGCTGCGAGCAGGGCAGCACCCAATGCGCCCGCACCTCATCCCCAGCTTCACCTGGCATGTGCTCCGGGGGCTGCGACGCCACGGTGAGAGAGGCGCTGGGCGGGGGGGGGGTGTGGGTGGGTGTGAGTGTGAGTGTGCTCCGCACAGGTGCTCAGCTTCACCTGGCACGTGCTCCGGGGGCTGCGACGCCACAGTGAGAGGCGCTGGGTGCGTGGGTGGGTGGGTGAGCGGCATAGGTCACTCGTGGAGTCACAAGGAGTCAACAAGTCATCCGGGTGGGGTCTGGTGGGTGGATTCTGGTCGACTCTTCAGTCAACAAACCCAGCTTCACCCAGCACGTGCTCCGGGGGCACTTGATTCCGAGACGTCCCAGATTGTGCGCACGGGGCACCAGACGTCAAGGCAAGGCGCTGGTTGGGTGGGTGGGGAAAGGAAGGTACGAAGGGAGAGGAAGGAGGGTGACGTAAGGTACGGGTGAGGGGATTGACTGGCAGAGAGGTTGGAGGGGAGGGGAGTGAGGGGTGTCAGGGTTGTTATGCCCAATCGTTATGAGGTTATGATCCACAAAAGAAGTGGCTTTTGAGGCGCCTCAAAAGGGGTGTCAGGGTTATGTCCAATCGTCATGAGATCATGGTCCACAAGAGAAGTGGAATGTGTGTCTGTTCTCCATACACCAATGCTCCTGCTCCTGCTCATCTCATCTTGCCTGCCTTTAAGTTGCTCCCAGTCACAACCTTCACCAAGTCTTCTGTCTGTTCCCACCCTCCCACTCTCCCACCCTCACACTCCCCACCCTCCCACTCCACCTCCCTCCCACTCCCCCACCCTCCCACTCCCCTACCCTCCCACTCCCCCACGCTCGCACTCTCCACCCTCTCACTCCGCACCCAACCATCCCCCCACCTCTCTTTGGCAGGGTTCGAGGCGTATCTAGTGGGCGGCAGCATCAGAGACCTACTGCGGGACGTGCCCCCCAAGTGTGGTTTGAGCTATCAACGCTCTATCTCTCTCCCTCCCTCAGACTATCCCACTCTCCCACTCTCATGACTAACGGCAGCTCCTCTCCTCTCCCACCCCCCACGCGTGCCTGGCAGGGTTCGAGGCGTACCTGGTGGGCGGCAGCATCAGAGACCTGCTGCTAGACGTGCCGCCAAAGGACTATGACGTGCTCTCAACCGCCACCACCCATCAGGTGCGCGCTGCTGCCTTCCTCTCCTCGCACCGTGACTGCACTGCACCTCTCTAGGTGTCTCGTGAGTCAACTCTCAAGCGACCTGCTGTTAGACGTGCCACCCAAGGACTATGACGTGCTCTCCACCGCCACCACCCATCAGGTGTGCGCTACTGCTTCTCCCCTCACCGTGACTGCACGCACGTGTAGGTAACTTGTGAGTCAACTCAGAAGGGACCGTTACGCATGCTGTGCCCCGCAAGGACTTACTGGGAGGGGGATGGAGTGGGAGGGCGGGTGTGGTTTGAACTCTGATGTTTTGGGATGGTGTGAAGGTTACTGGCTTTTGCCCACAGTTGCCTCCAAGGTGTGGTGTGGTGTGGTGTGGTGTGGTGTGGTGTGGTGTGGTGTGGTGTGGTGTGTTTTTATCTGCTTCGTGCTCTCCTATCTTGTTCCTCCCTTACACTATCCCGCTCTCCCTCACCCCACTTCGTCCCCCCATGGCGTCAGATCCGCAAGTCGTTCCCCAGGGCGCGCGTTGTGGGGCGGCGCTTCCCTCCCTCTCTCACTCTATCTCTCTCCCTCTCTCACACTATCCCGCTCCCTCCCTCACACCATCCCGCTCCCTCCCTCACACCATCCCGCTCCCTCCCTCACACTATCCCGCTCCCTCCCTCACACTATCCCGCTCCCTCCCTCACACTATCCCGCTCCCTCCCTCACACCATCCCGCTCCCTCCCTCACACTATCCCGCTCCCTCCCTCACACTATCCAGCTCCCTCCCTCACACTATCCCGCTCCCTCCCTCACACTATCCCGCTCCCTCCCTCAAACTATCTCTCTCCCTCCCTCACACTATCTCTCTCCCTCCCTCAAACTATCTCTCTCCCTCCCTCACACTATCTCTCTCCCTCCCTCAAACTATCTCTCTCCCTCCCTCAAACTATCTCTCTCCCTCCCTCAAACTATCTCTCTCCCTCCCTCAAACTATCTCTCTCCCTCCCTCAAACTATCTCTCTCCCTCCCTCACACTATCTCTCTCCCTCCCTCACACTATCTCTCTCCCTCCCTCACACTATCTCTCTCCCTCCCTCACACTATCCCGCTCTCCCTGCACCTTCCCTCACCCCACTTCGTCCCCCCATGGCGTCAGATCCGCAAGTCGTTCCCCAGGGCGCGCATTGTGGGGCGGCGCTTCCCCATCTGCCACGTGATGGTGGGCGGGGAGATCGTTGAGGTGAGGGGGGGGAAAGGGGAGGGGGGAATGGGGAGGGGGGAATGGGGAGGGGGAGGGCAGGACTTTTGAGGCGCCTCGAAAGTCCTCCCCATCTGCCACGTGATGGTGGGCGGGGAGATCGTTGAGGTGAGGAGGAGCGGAAGGGAAGGGGAGGGGGAGGGGAATGGGAGGGGAGGAGGGTGAAGAGAGGGTGAGGCGATGGGGAAAATCGTCAAGAGGGGGCCTTCCCCATCTGCCACGTGATGGTGGGCAAGGAGATTGTTGGGGTGAAGGGGGGGGGGGAGGGGGGAAGGGGGAGGGAGGGGGAGGAGAGGCATGAGGGGGGTAGAGGTAAGGTTTTGAGAATCCTCAAAAAGTTCCCCATCTGCCACGTGATGGTGGGCAGGGAGATTGTTGGGGTGAGGAGGAGGTGGGGAAAGGGGGGGAATGAGAGGCGGGAGGGGGAAAGGTTGCAGGAAGGGTGGGCGATGGGGCAAGTTGCAGGGAGACTGTTGAATAGGGGGGAGGGAGGGTGGAGGGAGGGTGATTTGAAGGGAGGCGAAGAAGACATTTTCTGAGAGAGGGGGGAGGGAAGGGGAGGGGAAGGGAGGAGAGGGAAGGGGGGAAGGGGAGGGAAGGGTAGGGAAGGGGAGGGGACGGTAGGAGAGGGAAGTCTGTGGCGGTCGCCAGGGAGGTAGTTGAGGTTGATGCCACAGGTTGAGGTTGATGCCACAGGTTGAGGTTGATGCCACAGGTTGAGGTTGATGCCACAGGTTGATGTATTCAACTTGGTTAAACTCAAAGAAAGAGTAGGCTTGAGCTCAGCAAGGACACAGTGGGAGTGCAATGGGGAAAGTAACAGCTGCAACACATACCATGCACCATGCTCAATATACCACATATCTCCCTCCCCTACGCCCCCCTCCATTGCCATGCCGTGCTGTTCTGTCCCCCGGAGCAGGTATCGAGCTTCAAGACCAAGGAGCAGTTGCCGCAGTCAGAAACCAACTTCTGAAGCCCCTCAATTCATGACACGACTTTTAGGGCGCCTCAAAAGTCCTCTCTCTCCTACGTCCCCTTGTGTTGCCATGCCGTGCTGTTCTCTCCCCCGTGCAGGTATCGAGCTTCAAAACCAAGGAGCAGCTGCCGCAGAGGCGAAAGAGAGTGGCAAGAACGGAGCTCAGGATGCCTGCAACCAAGCTGGCTTGGCTTGATGATGACACGGGGGACGGCGAGGAGAGGGATGATGAGGTGGAGGAGGAGGGAGACGATGGGGAGGAGGAGGGAGAGGAGGAGGAGGAGGTGGAGGAAGAAGGGGAGGGGGGAGAGAAAGAGGGGCTGCTGGTGCCGGTGCGACCCCCGAGGGAGATGGTGGAGAGGAAAGAGTGGACGGGCAAGGACTCAGAGCGATGGCTCAATGCTGCGCGCAGAGACTTCACCGTCAATGGGTGCGTGTGCTCTGGGGTCATGTGTGGTGCCATTTTGGTGACGAAACCTGAGAAATCTTGAGAATTCTTGTTCTGTATATTACGCGACGCATTCAACAGTCAGTGAAGTTGCACAGGTTGAACCGTCGGCGGCTGGGTGATGGTGAAGCTACCCTGTGTGTTTGTGCTGGCTCACTCCCGAAATCCTATGTGCACCCTTCTGTCAAGTTGTCTACACGCTTCTGGTCTCCTTTGTCGTATTCTCTTTCATTTCTTTAGATTCATCTCTTGATCCTACACTGCCCTGTGCACACTCCCTCTTCCGACCACATTACCTCCCATCCCCTCCCCTGCTCACACCCCCTCTGCTGCTCACACTCCCTCCCCTGCTCACACTCCCCCTTTCCTCTGCCCATGCGCGGGCGGGGCACATCAGGCTGATGCTAGACCCCTTCAGTGGCACGCTCTACGACTATGTGGGCGCTCTGCATGACATCAAGACCCGCGTGGTGCGGCCTCCCTGCCTTGCATTGCATGCCATGCTATTCCGTGCCGTGCCGTGCCGTGCCGTGCCGTGCCGTGCGGTGCCATGCCATGCTATGCCATGTCATCCCGTCATTCCTCACATGAGCACATGTTTGAGATGTTGCGCGGGGTGCAACTTTTCTATGTATTCAAATGACTGCTTGTGATGTGTGCGCTTCCGCATGTGCTACCGGCCATCCCTGCCATCGCTGTCCCAATGTACGCGTGTGTGCACCCAACCCAAGCAAGCATACAAGCAAGCACGCCTGCATGCATGTAGGTGTCACATACATACATACCAATGTACCCATGCCTCATGCGTGTGTGTTCCCACCTCCTCTGTGCATGCTTCTCTATCTCCCTCTCCCCCTTGCTCTCTTCACCGCGCTTTCTTCTCTGCATGTGTGTCCCCGAGTCAGCTCAGAACGATACAACCAGCTCTGCCCTCCTTCCTAGATGACCCAGGTTAGTTCGTGTCCCTCCACACACCTATGTCCATCGTTGCTTCACATCCGCAGCGCTCAGTCATAATTCTCAGAGAGCAGCAGTTGTGTAGTCTGGTTGGGCTCAAGCAAAAGAGCAACAGTGAACTCACATCCGCAGCGCATTCACTGCCCATCTCTCAAAACGCACTCTGTGGCCCTCTCCCTGCTCACACTCTCCTTTCCCTCTCCCTGTATCTCCAATTCCTCCACCTTTCCCCACTCTTTCCCCCCTCACCCGCCCGCGTGTGCAGTGCGTGTGCTGAGAGCCATGCGCATGGCAGCCAAGGCACGCCTGTCGCTGCATGAAGACATTGTTTCTGCTCTGGAGTCGCCCCGCCTCCTCTCCTCCCTCGCGCATGTCAACAAGGTGGGCACTGGGGGGTCGTGTGAAAGGGTGTGTGTGTGGTGAGGCATGGGGGGGGGTGATCTCACACCCCATTGCAGTCGCCCCGCCTCCTCTCCTCGCTCGCGCATGTCAACAAGGTGTGCCTGGCAGGAAGGGCATGTGATGGGATGCGAGGACGGATGGGATGTCTTTTGCGGCGCCTCAAAAGTCGCCTGGCAGGCAGGCAGGGCATGTGGGTGGGGACGGATGGGAAGTGCTGATGCAGCTTTATGGTTGCTCTCTAGCACCCAGGTGCTGGCATTGGCACATACGGAACCCCATCCTCTCCCCGTCCTCCTCTCCACAGGTGGTGCTGGCAGGAGCGCGTGCAGCAGGAGGTGGCGCTGCTTCTGTCATACGGCTGCTCTGAGCTCGCCGTCCGCTTGCTCTGTTATTCCTTCAACCCCCTTTCCTCCCTCCTCTCTCCATCCTCCCCCGTACATCAGGAGCGCGTGCAGCAGGAGGTAACGTTGCTGCTGTCATATGGATCCTCTGAGACAGCCGTCCGCTTGCTCTGGTCGCACCGCCTCATGCCGCTGCTGCTGCCCCTGCACGTAAGGCCATTCAGTGTAGTGTGATATTGATGTGATGTGATGCGATGCGATGCGATGCGATGCGATGCGATGCGATGCGATGCGATGCGATGTGATGTGATGTGATGTGATGTGATGCAATGGAATGCGATGCCATGCCATGCCATGCTATTTATACCCCCGTGGCTGTCCCGCTAGCTGTGGGCACCATTTCAGCCATTTCTTCCTCCCTTCACTATTCCCTTCTCCCTTCACTATTCCCATCACTCCTCTCACTCTGTCTCCCCTCACTCATATTACCCTCACTGATTCTCCTCTGTGTTCCCTCTCTCCTTTCCCCTGTCTTCTTTTTTGCTTGCAAAGATCGCATGCCCTTCTCTCCCCTTTGCCACTCTCTTACCGCTCAAACTCCACCTGTCTCATTTCTCCCTCCTCCCACACTCGCCCCGCCTTCCCCCCATCCGCCCCTCTCCTCTCCACCAGTCGGCTCGTCTGCTAGATCGCGGCTTCCCAACCTCTCCCTCTGCTGCTGCCACTGCTGACGACCTGCTCTTCGTCAGTACCTGCTGTGCCCCATGCCATGCACACACAAGTGCACGTGCCCACAGCCATGCGTGCACACCACTAGTGCAGTGCATGCATACACTAGTGCACTGAGGACTCAGCTCGTTGGAATGCTATTTTGTGCACTCGCTGCTGTAACCACGCTCGCTGCTGTAACCACGCTCGCTGCTGTAACCACGCTCGCTGCCCACCCTCAGGCATGTAAGTGCGTGCTCCACTCTTGTGAGCAGGCTTACAGCAATGCGCATGCCCCTGTGCTTCAAACACCATTCACACGCTCTAATTCTTGTGGACATCAAACATCACTCCCTTCCAATACTTCATCCTCCATCCACCCTCCCTCCCAACACTTCCTTCTCTTACCTCCTCTCTCCACCAATCCGCCCATTCACATGTTCACCTGTGCTCACCAATCCGCCCATCCATTTATCCACAAATGTTCACCCGTGCACGCACCAGGCTATGTTGCGGCAGCTGGATCGCCTTACCGCTCCCAACGCTCCCTGCCGTCCTCTCGTCTGGTCAGTTGGCACTTTGATTTGAGCCTCTTTTTGTTCAGATGTGTCTATATCTCCTTCTTACTTTCCATTATCGCTTACTGGCTGTCCTTGAGTCCATCCGTTTAGTAATCCATCCACCCATCCATATCAATCCATATCAATCCCTCCCTCCCTCCCTCCCTCCCTCCCTCCCTCCCTCCCTCCCATGCGTGTGTAGCTTTGGGTCTTTCCCATTTTCCTTCTTCAGAAAGCAAACATCCTGCAATTCCCTTGTCTGTAACCTCTCCCACTGTCCTCCCTCTCTCACTCTCCCAACGTCCCAACCTCTCACCCCAACACCTTTCTCCCCGCCCAACCGTCCCTCCCAGGGTGACAATCCTATCCCTCTACCTAGCAGCCACCGCCACCACCACACACCCCGCAGCGTTACTAGCAGCAGCGCTGCGCATGCGAAGGGGCGGTCTGGAGTGGGACAGAGCAGCAGCCGATGCAGCAGAGGTGGTGCGGAGACTTAGAGCTGGAGAGCCTGTGGATTCAGAGCTGCTGCTTGGGAGTGGGGAAGAGGATGGGGGGAAGAAGGGCAGCAGGGGCAAGAGGAGGACTAAGGGGAAGGGGAAGGGGAGGCAGGAGGAGGGTGCGAGGGATGGGGATGATGGGGAAGGGGAGGGAGTGGGGGATGGTGAAGGGGAGGAGAGGGGAGCGAGGGAGCGGAGAGCGGAGGAGAGGAGGTTGGTCAAGGAAGCTCAAGAGGTATGGTTAAGTACTGCCTGCCAAAGAAGTTGCTTTGGTTGGCATTGGGTGGGACCTAAGTGACTTGGTTTGTAGATCGAGCATTAAGGCGTTTCATATGTGTGCTTAGTTCCGATTCCTCCGTTCCATGTGCTCTCCCTCCTACTCTCTTCCTCATACCCTTCACTCTCACTTTCTCTCGTTTTTCCTCAACCATTTCCTCCCTCCCCCTCCACTTCACCAACCCTCCCCCCCTTCCCCTTCCCCTTCTCCCTTGTCCTCCCCCTTCCCCTCCTCCCCCCCGTCCCGCTCTGCCCTCCCCGCGCCCCTGCAGCTACTACCCAGGGCGCTGCGCTGTGTGCTGCAGATGACCCATCCAGCAGAGCTCTCCCGTCACGCACACGCACAGCTCGGCATCTCTCTTCCCGAGCCCGTGCGCCTCTCTCCCCCCCCCCCCCCCCCCCCCCCCCGCCCCCCCCCCCCCCCTCTCTCTCTCTCTCTCTCTCTCTCTCTCTCTCTCTCTCTCTCTCTCTCTCTCTCTCTCTCTCTCTCTCGCCCCCTTCTCTCAGCACTGTTTTGCGTCGACCCGCAATAACTCACACCATCACTCACAGTTCCCTCTATGCCCCTTGTAACAAGTTACTCCTCTTCAGCACTCTGCCAGTCCCACTCACCTTCTCATCTAACCCCACCTAAAACGGACTCCTCACCAAAAGTCCCACCGTCCAATCGTTTCTCTCCCTCCTTTCCCCCTCGCCCCCCCGCTTACCCCATCCTCCCCTTCCTCCCCTCCCTCCCCTCTCGCCCCACCCCTACTGTCCCTGTGTCCCTTGATTCATCCATCCCATGCCATGTGTGTCCCTGCAGGTCCTGGTAACGCGAGCCAGCACCTGTGAAGCAGCGCAGCTGCTGTACCGCTCTATGTCCGGCCGCCAGGTGAAGGACCCGCTCTCCCTCGAATACCTTCTCACCACCACAGGGCTTTCCGCTGAGGGTGAGGATGAGGACGAGGGGGGTGTGAGGGGTCTGGGGCGGAATAAGCAGGCGGGGGGCTGGCACAAGGAGCAGCAGAGGCGGCGGGATGACTGGGGGCCCGGGCAGGTTTCAGCAGAGGTGCTGGATGAGGCGGAGATGTTAGTTTCGTGGGTGGTTATCAATTCAGTGCCCTCGATTGTCTAGGGTCATTATTGGTTGGTGTTACAATTATTCCTGACTTTTGCTGTATATAATTCAAGCATGCAGTATCTGCAAGGCTTATGACGTACCAACCCACCGGGGTTCTGTCAAACTAACGAACGAGAATGAATGAACTATGAAAAGGTTGGGTACAAGTATTAACCATAATTGGGTTGTACCCCTTATGGGCTACCCCACTATAACCTACATAGAGTAAGCAATATAACATTTTAACACACCCCCATAGGCAAAGTGGGGGAGAACAAGTGGTCACAAGACCAGTCAAGAAAGGCAAAGCAAGCTCAGGGTGGATCACAAAGTCACCACACATTCCGAGCACAAGGAAAGGCCACAAGGCCAGTTCACATGCAGAATTATATAAAAGAGAACAAACAGTACAGTGATCATACCCTAGCAAGTGTAAGCATGCAGGTATATACATAGATCACAATACAAGCAAAGTCACGCAGTGAGCAAGTGAGGCAAAGTTGGCACAAGGCCTAAAACAGTACAGAAACGTTGATGATCACCAGACTGAAGTGCCTTGGTGAATATATCAGCATTGTTGGCCCTAGTGGCCACGTACGCAAGACGAATCTGACCAGGCCGCTGCAACTCTCGAGCAAGGAAGTATCGTAGAGCGATGTGCTTTGTTCTGTGCTCCAGTCTGTGCTCCTGACACAAGGCAATCATGGCCTTGTTGTCTACGTACAGAATTGGAGAAGAACGAGGCCTCTCTCCCAAGTCAGTCAGCAGGTAGGTGAGCCAGCGTAACTCCTGTGCAGCCATGGCCCCTGTGTAGATCTCAGCCTCACAACTGGAACTGAGAACCGAAGACGAGCGGGTAGACCACCAAGAAACAGAGCCGGAGCCAAGGCTGAAAGTGTAACCCTGTGACGACCGCTGCGTAGCCAAGTCGTCAACCCAAGAAGCATCTGTGTGTCCAGTGAGGACAACTGGACCCCGTCCTCCAAGCACGAGCCCCATGCCCGACGTACTGCACAAGTAGTGCAACACCCTCTTAGCGGCCTCCCATTGCTCTGGTCGGTGTCTCCCGGGCGCAACGTAGCATGCCAGGATGCTAAGAGGGTAGGCAAGGTCAGGTCGAGTGCACATCATCAGGTACATGAGGTAGCCCACAAGCTCTGAATACGGGCCACTCAGCTCTACGGACTCGTCCAAAGATGGAGCTGAGAGCGAGTGACCGGTAGGCAGAGGAGTGGGCTGTGGCGAGGAGTACCGGAAGCCGAAGCGCTGAAGGACCTGGTGCACCATGTGTGACTAAGTCAGGGTGATGGTGCACCGTGCTCTGTCCCGGGTGATCTGCAAGCCAAGATAGCTTCGCAGCTCACCTAGGTCAGTGCAAGTGTGTCTCTTCTGTAGCTCCGACTTCACAAGGGCTAGTGCCTCAGTGTCAGCAGTGGCAAAGACCAAGTCGTCGACGTACACGAGGACGTAGAACGGCGCCAGCGAAGTGTCGGTGCGTAGAAACAGCGACGGGTTAGCAGTCGAAGAAGCAAACCCAAGAGCCGTAAATGTCGTTCTCAGTGTGTCGTGCCACTCGCGAGGCGCCCGGCCGAGACCGTAGACTGGCCGCCGGAGGCTCCACTGGGTACCTGCAGGAAACGACCTAGTGAAGCCAGGTGGGCGGCGCAACCAGATCTCCTCGTGTAGGCTGCCCTGCAAGAAAGCTGTGCTGAAGTCAAGAGAGTGCAGCTCGTAGTCACGCTGAGCGGCGACGTGCAGCAACACTCAAAGAGAAGTCATCTTCGGGGTAGGGGAGAAGGTCTGGAAGAAGTCAAATCCCTGTCGCTGACTGAAGCCTCGTGCACCGTAACGAGCCTTGAAGACAAGCGGAGAACCTGGCGGTTGCTTCACCCTGAAAATCCACATGCCATCGACTATGTTCGCCCCAGAAGGGGGAACTGCGACGACGTAGGTGCCTGTGGACTTCCAGGATGCCATCTCTGCGTCCATGGCTGTCTCCTTCTGACAGGAGTAGGGACCAGTAATCGCCTCTGCGTAAGAGCGCGGGGTCGGGATGTCTGGTGCATCCGGGTCTCCCTCAGGTGCAAGCAGCATGGCCACGAGATGAGGTACAGCATCAGCAAGGCACTCAAATTCCTCCTGCTTGTCCGCAAGGACGTCCGTGCCAAGAGCACACTCACCCCCGACGGACAGAGGAAAGTCAGACTCAGACTCAGCAACAAGACTAGTGGCATAGTCGAGACGACAGGCAGCAGCAAAGTCAACAAGCTTAGCAACTAGGGAAGACGCAGCAGTGGACTCAAAAGAAGGGTAAGTGACAACAGTGGCGAGAAGACGAGAGATAGTAGGACTGGCAGAACGAGCTAGGTCAGACTCAGGGTCAGGAACGGCAGGAAGAGAGGACTCAGGAGGAGGCGGCAGAGGAATGCACAGTGGAACAGAGGAAGGACGAAGTGCAATAACGTGAGTGCCGGGGACAAGAGGAGGATGCGGACGAGGAGCCCGACGACCAGTGCAAACAGCGCGAACACGCAAGGTAGGACGAGACTCAGGCTCACGACGCTCTGTAAAAGAGTTTGTCTGCTCAGCGTAAGAAGAAGGAGCAGGCAGTGGGGAGTCTGGCTGTAGCTGTGGCTGCGACTGGCGAGGCTGTGGACCCAGTAAGCTAGGAGGAAGGCCAGTAGAAGGTGAGAGACTAAGAACCTGGCGAAGGATCAAGTCAAGTGGCGGCAAAGACGACGGTGGCGGCGGAATGAGAAACGGGCGCCGCTGCACCGTGCCTCCAGCACCAGTACTGCTAGATGCAGCACCCCCAGCGCCAGCACCTCCAGCTGCAGGGTCAACAGCTCCAGCGCCTCCAGCGTCAGGGTCTCCAGCTCCAGCTCCTCCAGCTCCAGCGCAGCCAGCGCCAGTGCCTCCAGCTCTAGTGCCTCCAGCTCCAGCGCCTCGAGATCCAGCGCCCCCAACACCACCAGCCCCAGCAGCTCCAGTACCCCAAGCTCCAGGGTCAACAGCTCCAATGCCTCTAGCTCCAGCACCCCTAGCGCCAGTGCCTCCAGCTCCAGCTCCTCCAGCTCCTCCAGCTCCAGTGCCTCCAGCTCCAGCGCCTCCAGCGCAAGGGTCTCCAGCTCCAGCTCCTCCATCTCCAGCGCCCCCAACACCACCAGCCCCAGCAGCTCCAGTACCCCTAGTACGAGCACCTCCAAGACCAGCAGCTCCAGCATCTCCGGTACCTCCAGCTCCAGCAGGAACTCCAGCACCTCCATGACTAGTAGCTCCAGCACCTCCAGCTTTAGTGCCTCCAGCGGCAGAGCCTCCAGCTCCGGCAGCTCCACTCAAAAGGCGTGTGCGCTGAGCAAACCACTCGCGCAGCTATTGCGGGGAGAGAGGCTCCGGCCGGGGAGACAGTCGTGGCGAGGCACCCGCTTGACCTCTAGAAGAAGCAGTACCCCTAGGCTCAGCAACCCTAGACTCCGCACCCTCAGACTCAGCACCCCCCGGCTCCGCACCCGCAGGCTCAATACCCCCAGGCTCCACACCCTCAAGTTCAGCACCCCAAGGCTCCGCACGCGCAAGCTCAGCACCCCCAGACGCAGCACCCCCAGGCTCAGCACCCCCAGACCCAGCACCCTCAGACTCAGCACCCCCAGGCTCCGCACCCCCAGACGCAGCACCTCGAGCAGCACCTGAGCCGACAGCTACCTCAACAGGCACAGTACCAAGGAGAGGGTCTACCTGAGACACACTTGAGGGAGCAGGACCCTGAGGGGGGAGGGGGTGCACCGGAGGGGGGCATGGAGCGAGGAAGAGCGAGGGGGGGGGGGAGAGGGGCAGAACGGTAGGGGAAGAGACGGTAAAAGGGAACCGACTCGTCAAACGTGACGTCCTGAGAGGGCAGGAGATGGCGCAAGGTGGGGTGGTGAAACTGCCAGCCAGGCGCGTCAAGGGGAAAGCCAAGGAAGACGCAGGGAATAGTGCGGGAGGAGAGCTTGTCCGCGGAAGTATCGCGAACAAAGGCACGAGAGCCCCAGACCCAGAACACCGACGCATCGCCAACATTCCCCGTCCAACGCAATGTAGGCGAGGTCTCCGACAAGGAGACACGGGGCCAGAGGTTGAGCTGATGCGCAGCGTACCAGACCGCAAACGGCCACAAAGAATGGGGGGCAGCCGCATGGATCATGGAGGTACGAGCGACCTCCATGACTAAGCCAATGCGGCTCTCAGCAATCCCATTTTGCTGCGGGGAGGCCGGAAGCGTGAACGACCGGAGGATGCCCTCCCCACGACAAAAGTCCCGCAAGAGGTTGGAGGAGAACTCACCACCTCTGTCAGAGTGCAGACGCAGGACAGGAAGGTCCTTGCGGAACCGCTCGCGGAGCTGGAGACGGAATGCGCGGATCCAAGGGATCAAGACATCAGGGACCGCACCCTTGCTGCGCAAGGGGAAGACCGTGGTGTAACACGTGTAGTTGTCAATAACCAGCAAAAAGTAGCGCTCGTGGTCCTGTCCACTGACGCGGGCTGGGCTCCACATGTCCATGTGGAGAGTCTGCAGGGGAGCAGTCGTTGGGGGAAACGAGGAGGAGTGAGGAGCGGCGCGCTGCCGCCCCTCGACGCAAGGAAGGCAGGGCGGGGCAGGCGAGGGTGGGAGGGGAGGTAGAGACGTGGGAAGACCAGAAACAAGGAGGCGGGAGTGCATGCCACGAAGGCGTGGCAGGGAGGGGTGACCAAGGCGGTGGTGCCACAGGAGAGTCTGGTGTGACAGGACGTGTCATGAGCAGGGGGGTGCTATCGAACGTGACGCGGACACCTGGGCAGACGCAGCTACCCGAGGAGGCTCGGTAGCCAGTGTGTATAGAATTGACCCAGGCCGACGGGTGAACGTGGCCAGGTGACGGCCCGTCCGTGTACACATACAAATCGACACACGCTGGCCCCTAGGATTGGTGGTAGTGACCATCGCACGCTGGAGGGCAGCGGTACTCACCAAGTTCGTAGAGAACGAGGGGAGG